AGAATTATCATCTCTGATACAGGCAACTACCCAAAATCAATGATTCAAGCGGGATGTCTATTTTGATACAGCCCTGACTGGCATCAATGTTGATTCATGTCTGTTGCTCTGGCTGAACCAGGGCTGTACTCTAGCATGGTTGTATCATGGATGATCATCATGATTATATCATACTAGACTCATTGCTTTACAGGCTGCCTAAAATCCATGATACAGGAATGTATCAAGGCTGATCCTGATTGATATCAGTCATGATTTAAATTAGAATTCTTGGCTGTGTACAAAGCAAGCACTATCGTCATTATAGCATGACTGTATAGTCCAATGGCACTTCAACTTATACAGATACACCACATTTCAGATATAATTATAATTACATGTGTGTGTTGCATGTAAAGTACACTAACCCCCAAGTACATGAACTGATCAGTAGTAGTAAAATCCTTAGCAGATCTTCTTAAAGTACTCGGAGTTAGGGTCTCAAATGTACCCTAACAATGACAGACAATTTTACATGTACATGTATATGTGTAAATTATAAATTGAGTGCATATTGCAACATGCATACACTTATTGCCTTATTTGGGTAGTATGATTTAATTGTTTATTTATTATATTAATTGGTAGCGATGGAAGGTTGTCTTAAATGTTTATTATTACAGCTATAGGGTAAATAGCATTAATAGTTAATGGGCATATCAACAGCTCATGCCTACACCAGCAAAAAATAATTCACAATGTATTTTAATTGTGCTCTATTAGCAAAGCATAAGTTTTTTCAGCCATACATGTACATGTAGCTAATAATATCAATGACAGTTATTGTGTCATAATACTAATGGACAGAGTCTAGCAGTGGCTGATGTTAAAGGATTGAGAGTTGAAGATTTTGAGAGTGAAGAGTATCTTGTACCAGTAGTACCTGATGATCCATTACTGCAAATAGACTGGGAGGAGGAGGAAGAGGAGGGAAAGATTGAAGAATGGGGAGACACAAGTCTTAAAGAAAGGTATAAGTTACATCAAGATTTTCAAAAATTGGACTAAAGTCCCTGTACACGGTCTTTGGTCAGCCAAAAATGACTAAGAGACAATTCTTCATTTTTATAATGTTTTCTGATACATATACATGTTTTTATGTTGTGTAGCAATTTTGAGCTGATTCCAATCAAAATTGGATTTTTTACAAATTCTTAAAGTTACTCGAAAATCGGACCAAAGTCCCTGTACTATAGTACAGGGTTTTTGGCTAAATTTTGCCAAATATGACTAGAAAAGAATTCTTTATTTCAATAATTTTTTCTGATGCATATACATGTTTTTATGTTGTGTAGCAAGCTTGAGCTGATTCCGACCAAAATTAGATTTTTTATGAATTTTTAAAGTTACTCCAAAATCAGGCCAAAGCCCCTGTATGATAGTACAGGGTCTTCAGTCAAATTTTGCCAAAAATGACTAGGAGAGAATTCTTCATTTTTATTATATTTTCTGATGCATATACATGTTCTTATGTTGCGTAGCAAGTTTGAGCTGATTTCGACCAAAATTGGATTTTTTACGAATTTTTAAAGTTACTCAAAAATCAGGCCAAAGTCCCTGTACTATAGTACAGGGTTTTTGGCCAAATTTTGCCAAAAATGACTAGAAAAGGATTCTTCATTTTAATAATTTTTTCTGATGCATATACTTGTTTTTATGTTGTGTAGCAAGTTTGAACTGATTCCAATCAAATTTCAATTTTTTATGAATTTTTAAACTTGAAAAATTTTATGAATTTTGCTGTTTCATGCTTTATGGGAAACAATGAGTTTTCAAGAGTCCTATTGCACACATGTACATGTACATGTAAATTGATTTGTACACCATTATATTTTCCTCATTATTTTTTACTATTTTTGTCTTCTCTCTCTCTCTATCTCTCTCAGACTGGAGCTCACGGAGAAGCAGCTCCTACTTACCAGAACTGCATTAGACAATGCTCTTAAAGACCTCAACCAGATGAAGTACAGAAAAGCCTCTTTCTCTCTTCCTTTATCCTCCTCTTATAAATGTATATATATACATCTCTCTTTCCCTTTGTCTCTTAATTTTCTTCTTTATTGTTTGTATTTTCTTTCTCATTCCTCCTTCTTTTGTTTTAGAGAAACAATGAGAGAATTAACAACCAGTGACACTGATCCTGATGCTACCATGGAGACTGCTGTGGAGGAGAAAGACAGTTACTTTAGCAACTATGGACATCATGGCATTCATGAAGAGATGCTCAAAGTAATTTTAAATGTCTACATGTACATTATTATACATATGTATGGCTAAGAACATTGACAGTGTGCTGTGCCTATTTATGTGCACCTACATGTAAAGTTCGTCTCATTCTCTCTCTTTCCTTTAGGATGAAGTTAGAATGGATTCTTATGAATTATTCATTACTAAAAACACTGAGATTTTCAAAGATAAAGTATAATTACATGTACACATAGTTTATCAGCCTTTCTTGTCTCTTTTTATCACCTTCCCCCTCCCTCTCTCTCTCATTTCATTTCTATACAGGTTGTTCTTGATATTGGTTGTGGTACTGGTATTCTCTCCCTCTTTGCAGTTAAAGCTGGTGCTAGTCACGTATTCGCAATAGACCAATCACCAATCATACACAAAGCAGTAGAAATAGCGAGAGAGAATGGGGTTGACGATAAAATCACATTTATAAGAGGAGAAGTGGAGACTGTTAGGTTACCAGTTGATAGTGTTGATGTGTTGATATCAGAATGGATGGGGTACTTCCTTTTATTTGAGTCCATGCTTGATACTGTCCTGTATGCTAGGGACAAGTGGTTGATTGATAAGAAAAATGGTGAGATGTATTAATGTACATTTGCTAAATCCAGGGTTTCCCACAAAGCATGCTAAGTGAGCTAAACAGCATGAGCTTCATGAGCTGACAAGCACTACAATATAGTACGTGGCATTTGGAGCAACTTTAAAAATTTGTTAAAAATCTAATTTTGATCAGAATCAGCTCAAACTTGCTACACAACATAAGAACATGTATATGTATCAGAAAAAAATTATAAAAATGAAAAATTCTCTCCTAGTCATTTGGAAATTTGTAAAAAATCTAAATTTAATCAGAATCAGCTCAAACTTGTTACACAACATAAGAACATGTATATGTATCTGGAGGAAATATAAAAATGGAGAATTCTCTCCTTTTTAATTTTGGCAAAATTTGGCCTGAGTTTCACCATGTACAGGGACTTTGATCAAATTTTTGAGCAAATTTAAGAATTTTGATCAGTACTTTCTAATTATGAGTTTGGCAATTATTGAATTTTCTCTTTCTCTCTCTCACTCTCTATTTCCATCAGTTTATCCTAACAGGTGTAATATGAGTTTAGTTGCCATGGGAGATGGATATGAATATAACTCAAAGATCAAATTCTGGGAGAATGTTAGAGGTAAGCAGTTTATTATTATCATTGTAACAAGAGCAGGATTTAAACAAACAAGAATTAAATTTTAGCAATACGTTAGATAATTGTTATAAGAATACTTTTTGTACACATGTACATGTACATTGTATGTATCTACAATTTTGTAATGATTTATATTTTCAAATTTTTAGGTTTTAAAATGTCTTGTATGAAAGATGAAGTTTTACTTGAGCCAACAGTCAAACTGGTTGATGAATATTGTCTCATTTCAACATCAGATGTCATTAAGGTTTGGAACATAATTATCTATGTGGGCGTGAAATATTCTTGCATGTGCTTTATGAATAGGTAGGGCCTTTGATACTCCCTCACAGTTAATTAAAATTATTTTATGTGCAAGTAGGTTAATTCAGTCATTTTTATTTTATTTTATAGAAATTTGATATAACGACAGTCAAAGTGAGTGATCTTGATTTCAAATCAAGTTTCACGCTTACCATAAAGCAAAATGACACCTGCTATGTGAGTCTATCAATGTATTACATGTACATGTACGTGTACATGTCTATGTATCAAATACATGTAGAAGCATTTTCAATTTCAGTCAATGATAAGCAACTACATGTATATGTATAGCTGTAAATTTTGTGGGACTATTTAGTAATTTTTTATTCCAAAAAATTATGCACAAAGACAAAAATTTGTATTTTCGGATCTTTTTTTGACTAATTTGCAAAATTTTGACGCTAAAAAATTATTCTATTATTCTAAACAGTTGCTTTCCCTAAGGTCTGGTTTATTATTAATATGTTGTAGGGTCTTGTTGGATACTTTGACATTGGGTTTGAGGTTCCCTCTTATCGTGTGTACTTTAGTACTAGT